GAAGGTGCCAATACATGGGAACGTTCCAACGTCGAGCGTTAAAGCGTTAGCCAATCAACGTATCAGGTTCTAGAAGTATACTTGTAGTTCTTGCGGAAAGTGGCACGTTGATTGGCTACCGCTTTAACGCTCGACGCTCGATGCTCCCATGTGAAGGTGCCAATACATGGGAACGTTCCAACGTCGAGCGTTAAAGCGTTAGCCAATCAACGTATCAGGTTCTAGAAGTATACTTGTAGTTCTTGCGGAAAGTGGCACGTTGATTGGCTACCGCTTTAACGCTCGACGCTCGATGCTCCCATGTGAAGGTGCCAATACATGGGAACGTTCCAACGTCGAGCGTTAAAGCGTTAGCCAATCAACGTATCAGGTTCTAGAAGTATACTTGTAGTTCTTGCGGAAAGTGGCACGTTGATTGGCTACCGCTTTAACGCTCGACGCTCGATGATCCCATGTAAAGGCACCTTAAAGATACCTTTGGGAGCATCGAGCGTCGAGCGTTATGGCTCCTGAACGCGGTAATGCTTGTCGCGCGGCGGAAGTTCGCCAATCAATATGTTGTTTTTCCGTAAGAACTAGAAAGTTATTACGGAAAGCAGCATATTGATTGGCTGTTGTGCGAATTTCCGCCGCGCGGCAAGCATTACCGCGTTCTGTGTGCAGAAGCCATTACTGTGATCGGTCCATTGAGAGTCGGCAGTCGTAGTCGGCAGTCGGGTCGGCTTGTGCAATCAGTAGTTTAATATGGGCTTAACTCTAACTCTAAAGGTGCCTTTACATGGGAGCATCGAGCGTCGAGTGTTAAAGCGGTAGCCAATCAACATGCCATTTTCCGCTACAAGTATACTTCTGGAACCTGATACGTTGATTGGCTAACGCTTTAACGCTCGATGCTGGAACGCTCCCATGTATTGGCACCTTAATTGTCGTAAACACCCAATGTAAACTAGGGCTAAGGGCTATCGCACCAAATTGACATAACTGCATATGCATAGCATAAGATCGTATGGACCAATGAGCATCGAATATTAAGCATCGAACACCAATATGGCGACTTAATACTCGATGCTCATTGGTACATACGGTCTTATGCTATGCATATGCAGTTATATCAATTTGTGTGAGATAGCCCTAACGCTTTAATGCTCGAGGCTCGGACGCTTCTATTTAAAGATACCTTAAGAGCTAAAAGATTATTACGGAATGTTGTATATTAAGCGATTTTTGACGATCGTTTAGTACATATACCTGGTTGTCATTGACCTAATTTACATCAAACATTTAATATATGTATAAATATATGTACAGTATAAATGTCCAAAATATAATTCTAAAGGCGTCGCAGAGATATCTGGATATCTCTGGAAGATATTTTGGATATTTGTGTTGTATGAATATTTAATACATATATAAAATATTTGATGTAAACTTGTCCAATAATAACCTGGTACATGTACCAAACGATCGCCAAAAATCGCCTATTGATTGGTTGTCGCACCAACTTCCGCCGCGCGGCAAGCGTTGCCACGTTGCAGGAGCCATAACAACTGCGCATGTGCGGATATGAATTGTATCTTCTTTTGTCCCTCTTTTTCTTGCCACACTTCTATGTACGCCACCTTCATTTCGATTTCACCTTCTTTCCAGTACTGATGGTCGAGAAGTTTAGTCTTGTTCTTGTAGTTCTTTATTCAGCAGAATGACGTGAGTATATAATCTTACCTAATATTTGCAATCCTGCATGTAAACTCAACCGTTTCGTAATAAATAAATTTATCGGACTATTATTTACGACTAGTGCATGTTATTTTTGGTTAAAAGTTATTGAATACGATATAGCGATAGATTCATAGTCACGCGCATTACAAAATTCTGAAAGTGAAGCCTTTGTCAGCAATACGTTGTACAGTTTTTTCTATGGTATAATATAAACTTAACGCGTTTATCACAATTGCGACACATTTTTAATATCTGAATATTTGAAAATTTCGAAATTGGTTAATTGTTCACATGATATTGCAAGATTATAAAGACAACTTTTGCATACATTTAATTAATTTTGCTCCGATTGCAGTTCCAAGGTTTCACGCGATACTCTGTACGAGTGCGTAAACGCGGTAATCCAACATTCCCAAGACAAAAAAAAGAAGTTCTTAGAGACGGTGGAGCTTCAGATTGGATTGAAGAACTATGATCCACAGAAAGATAAACGTTTCTCAGGCACTGTTAAGTACGTGTTTACCTGACTTTAAGGATTTTTCTTGGTTTTCCAGTGAGACATCGCAGACAATGTTTTTCACTGAGAATTCCTATTAAAAATGCCTTATGACATGTCAGGAAGCTGGGTTCTACCTAGCGGACCTGCACCCAGGGTCTTAAATAAACTGGGGAGGTATTTATACCGTTATTTAAGTTATATAGGATCATGGCTCATGATTCTATTGGTAAGTTATACTCGTCGAAATGATTATCAAACAGATAAAAATAAGCCAGTAAGATCCTAAGATGTCGATTGCAAAACATAGTGAGTTTACAAATGAACCAAAGTATAGCTTTGTATCTTCTATTATCTCAACTATATGGCTGATTTTTAGGATGCTCAATGTTTCATATCTTAAACCAGCAGCATATGTTGCTTGTTTTCATGCTGGATTGCTTGCTGAATAGAAATATGCTGTTCTGATTGGTGCATTTCCGAAGATGGATGGAAATGTACTAATCAAAACAGTTTCCATCCAGCAAAAAATCCAGTATGAAAACAAGCACTATGTACTGCTGTCTAGTTCATTTGTGGACCTAGTGTATTTTGCAATTAATATTTTACGTGAGCTTTTGTTGTTTTTTTTTATCTGTATTAGTACATTTGAAAATTTGATTGTTCAGTATTTTTTTAAAGTTATATGCATTTTTACATATATTTTATAGACTACATTCATATATATTCAATTACTGTATTTGGCGAGTATTAGAAATTTTTTGTCTGATTTATTAACATATGGAGTATCTGAAAATCCCAGACAATTGTAACACGCAGGGTTAAACAGAGTTAAATTAAACAGAGTCATGCATATTGCAAATTTTGCAATAGTTATTAAGGGATTAAACAATATAAGCATTTGAGAAAATGGACTTTGTAGACTGTGAATATGAAATCACAATTGTCTGGAATTTTTTAACATTCTGTATATTGTAAACAGGTGAAACACGTATAATATTAAATCTGTCTAACATTATAATGTCCAATGTTCTATGATGTTTTATTTATTGCATGTATTATCTGAATATTTTGTGTGGCAATACTTAATACTGAGGACATTGGAATTTTTGATACAGTAAGACAATTTGTTTTTTTGAATATTATTCAAGTGTCGCATATTAAAAGAGCTAGAACACATGTTTACATACATTTTAATTTTGTAATGTTGAATTCTACATTTTAATCATTATTAAATTATTTCATCAGGTTGAAGAATATCCCTAGGCCCAAAATGCAGGTCTGTGTTCTTGGCGATCAACAGCACTGTGATGAAGCCAAGGCTAATAATATTCCATATATGGATGCAGAGGCGTTAAAGAAACTTAACAAAAACAAGAAACTCGTGAAAAAACTCGGTATATTGACTGTTTATTTTCATGTTTAACAATTATTCCCTTCCAAAAAAGCACCACTATTGCGTTTTTAACAATGATGGTCGTCAAATGGAAGGAAAGTAAAGTCTTCACTAGGTGAGGGTAATGTAATTCTCGTAACATTAACCTCAATCCGTGTCGATACAATTATCTAACCTGAAAAAGGTTTAATTTAATAATCTGTGTTTACTTCTATATATATCTAAATTCTTCTTACATATAGATATTTATAAAATTGTTAAGGAAATAGGAAATTGTTAAGGCTTCTGTGCTGGGATTCTGTAACTCGTTATTGGAGTTAACAATTTCGTTATCGTTGCGCAGCTTTTCTACGGTATACAAAAGCTGCGCAACGATAACGAAACTGTCATTAACTCCAATAACGAATTACAGAATAGGGCTACAGGGGAGTTGCATCATCCATCTCTTTTTAATGACGTCAGAAGCGAGAAAACGCATGCTAAAAATTCCTGCAAAGTACGTCGAGATAAACAGATATATCCACAAAACGACATTTGCGATCGATTAAGTACACCTAAAATACTCCGTACCTCTTTCCTTTTATTCTGACAATCAACATAATTATAAAATAAATGTGACGTGCAATCGTCTTTTCTAACCTAATTTCCTCATTGTCATATTAATTTTCCGATTATCTATTGATTTTTAGAATAAATTTTTAGAATAAAAGGAAAGTGTACGGAATATTTTCGAGGTGTATTTAATCGATTGCAAATGTCGTTTTATGAATATATCTATTTATTTCGACGTATTTTGCAAGAATTTTTAGCATGCGTTTTCTCGTTTCTGACGTCATTAAAAAAAGATGGATGATGCGACTTCCCAGGAGCCTTAAGAAAGAAATTGAAAGGAATTTAATTGTCAATGGATACTATAAAATCTCTTAGATGTTTCAGTATAAGAAAGAACAATTTCAGTACAAGAAACACTAATTAATAAAATTTAAAGAATAATTTTATACATAAAATATGTGTAGAAAAAATTATTATTTGTTAGCTATATATTGGTATAATTTTTTGCAGCAAAGAAATACGACGCGTTCCTAGCCAGTGAGTCATTGATTAAACAGATTCCCCGTCTACTTGGTCCCGGTTTGAACAAGGCCGGTAAATTCCCTGGACTGTTGTCCCACCAGGAATCAATGGTCGGCAAGATCGACGAAGTTAAGGCCACTATCAAGTTTCAGATGAAAAAGGTATGCAACATGAATGTCATTTCGTTGTGATTTTTACTAACAATTTTGCGACAAGAATTGCGATTATTACTAACATTTCTCTTTGTTCCGCAGGTATTGTGTCTGTCGGTGGCAGTCGGACATGTCGAGATGACGCCCGACGAGTTGGTACAGAACGTGCATCTCTCGATAAACTTCCTCGTTTCTTTGTTGAAGAAACACTGGCAGAACGTACGTTCGCTGCACATTAAATCGTCCATGGGACCACCGCAGCGTCTGTATTAAATTACATATGATACGTATGTGAATGTACATTCGTTGCAATAAAAAATAGAAAAATCGTGAATTCGAGAAATTGCTCTTTCTGCATCATATATCTTATCCTATTTGCGACAACATTCCCTACGTTGTAATCTGATATCAACTTTAACAAACTATGAAAACTGTGAAAATAGAATTTCTATTTTCTTATTTTATTTTTCCTTACTCTTTCACTGAGAACTGACTGCATGTTTGCAATTTAAAAAAATTTCTTCTGTCTTCCATCCAAGTCAGCTTTTTTAATGGTTAGACGCTGTTTTATGTGGCGATTCTTAGGTTTAAGGACTGATTTTTTAATATCTTAAAGTTTAAATTCTGTTCTGATAGAAAATGATGACACAGTTTAACCTTAAAAATCTAAGTTCAAACTATTAAAAAATCAATATTTATAGTATATTTTTACTGAGTTTTATATAAAAAAAGAAAGTACATTAAAAATCCCGCTGATTATATGAAACGCGTCCAATGATTCATTTTCTTAATACGTGTAATGTTTGCCTGAAAAATTTCACTGTCAACTTGTGACTGTTTATACAAAATGTAACGAATCATTTGTAAGAAAATAGTTTTTTTTTTTAATATTTTATAATGGGGAGATAAATGTTTACGTTTACGATGATAAACAATCTATATGTCCATTACTTATTATTGAATACTTGAAAAACAAGATTGATGAGTATCTTAGATAGAATAACCATTTCACTATATAGGTAAATTGCACGAAAATTAGCTAAAAATTTCTCGACCGTAAATTCACGAAACTAACATCTCCGGTATAAAAAACATTTATGTAAGATGGTGGCGGACGTTAATAAACGATAAATAAAGAAAGCGAATGCTTATATTGTTGACACTTGCATCACTACACAAAGTGGGGATAAATTTTTATCATACTGTTTTAGATCATATTGTTAGAGGTGATGAAAGGTTTTAGATCATATTGTTACAGGCATGAATTTCTCACTTGACACCAAAAAGTAAACAATTTAGACAAAACTTGTGAATATTATTATTACAATCATTTTGGAAAAGTTTTACTGACTGAATTTACTGTTCAAGAAGTAATGATAAAAACATAGCATCTTATTACAAGATATTAAAAAAACTGCAGCATATTATTCAAAAATAATGTCGGAATCTGTTCTGATAAAGGAAAAAAATACAATTGACGTTAATAAACAATCTGAACATATAAGTGACAAAATTTCATAATGAGGGATACACAAAAACTAATTTCTTCCAATAACAAGTGTTCTTTGGTGGTTCTATATAAAAAAAGTAGATAAAAATATGTAATAAAATATTATTATTGAATTTTATAAATTTTTCGTTCAATTTTATTTTTCAATATTGAAATAATTTTCAAGCAGCAAACTCATATATTAATTTATTGGACGTAATATACAGGGTGTTCGGAAAGTACCGGGACGCCCGAATATCAGGAAAAATATAAGTTTTACAAAAAAATGTTTCAGACAAAAGTTGTGGCGTTTAAAAAGATGTATTTACTGATCACATCAGTTTGACCTTGGGTTGCGTAGCGAAGGTCAGG